ACAGGGCGGTATACAAATAAATATTATTATTATTATTATTATTATTAGGAAAAATCCATAATCCTGCCCCCCAAACGTGCCTTGACTTGTACATATGGTTGACTATAAGTGAGCATATACGATAGATCTACTGAGGTCAGTAAAATTTAAAGTAGTTAACAACTAATGTCTCCGTTGATTTCAGAGTGTGTATTCTTAAGCCTAACTTAGGGGCAAAACAAATGGCCCTAAATATTATATTTATATTATACAAAATATTAAATATGGTCAAGAAATTTAGGAAGGCTCAATAGCGTGTTTTGTATTGCTCATTGTGGCAGCAACCTCTGATTAAACTGTTATTCTTTATATACACTATGCTGCCAAATTGTTATAGAAATAATAGGATTTCCCCCTCAGACATTTTCAGTGCTATAACAGCTAAGCAGAATCTAGTATAGAGAATAAGACATGCTATATGATGTTGGCAATTCTGTTTAGTTGTTTGGTACAACTGCAAATTATAATCAATTGCAGATTACTGTTGGGTGTATTTTTGCACAAAGATGTCTGACACTGTGAACCTCTGAAATTACACAGCAAATGTGGCATCAGTTTGAAATTCAGCTATTCAACTGAAGTGTCACCTTCTAGCTCCTTCTAAGCACACTGCTACAGAATAATAAGGCTATAATAGTTGTACCACATGTTCTGGAAATTTCTATTATGTTTAAGAAACCAAACATTCTAAAAACTACCTGTCTTGAAATTAAAAAAAAAAAGTTTGAGAAATGTATTGCTACAGAGAATGACAAATGACTAGACTGAAGTTTTACACATACAGCCAAATAAACTTTTATCTGCAGGGCATGAGTGACTGCCAACAATCTGTCCAAACTACTTTAATCTGTTCCTGTATCTCAGTTCCTATTCCAGTTTTAACATTTGATTTAACTCAGGCTTGCAATGTTTTGACACTTATCTCAAGTGGCTGAATAATACTGCTTTTATGTGAAGATGCCAGCCACAGATGCTGGTGAAATGTCAAAAAGAAATTCTTCTGGAACATGGCCATACAGCCTGAAAAACCCACAAAAAACTATTGCCTTTATGCATTCCACCTATTGCTTTATATATGAACTGTAGTGGAATGATAACATTAAGGGTAAGCATACTAATAATGGTATACTTAATATGGTAATACTTAAAGAGCACATGTAGTGTAGTGGGTGAGACACTGAACTATAGAGCAAAAGAATCTGGTTCAAATCTTATCTCTTGTATGAATGCAGAAAATATGATTAGGCAAATCACTTTTTCTCCACCTCATCTATTTCGCTACTTGCCTAACAGGATTTCTGTAAAAGATAATACCTTGAATCAGGGGTAGGCAACCTTTCCCCTTTAAGGGCCGAGGGACAGAAGCTTCAGCCATGTTGGCCAATAGTCACATGTTGGCCAATAGCTCCTAGGATTCTGGGAGGTGAAGTCCCTCGGCCCTAAAGGGGAAAGGTTGCCTACCCCTGCCTTGAATCCTTAGAGACTTGGGTGCTTTTTTTCGTTCTTTCAGTAACCGTTCATGAGGTGTTGCAGAGGAGCTGAATTCTATTTATGGAACATCACATTTGGCTCTTATATTCCAGCCAATATATATATACGAAGTGCTTTCAGCCATAAAGCATTGTATGAATACTGAGTGTTGTTGTTGTGTGTCTTCAAGTCATTCTGATGTACAGTGACCCTAAGGCAGACCTATCACGAGGTTTTCTTGACATAACTTGTTGGGGGGATGGGTTACCTTCCTCTAAGACAGAAGGTGTAACTTGCCCAAGGTTACCTAGTGAGTTTCCATGGCCAAGAAGGGATTCAAACCCTGGTCTTCCAGTGCTCTAGTCCAACACTCATACCAATACTGCACACTGGATCTTATGCTGACTATTAGCACACAGTAGACATAATTGTAATAATTATATTTGGGGACAAGAAGAGGACTTTATGTTCAAAATCAGAGGAGAGTTGCTGCAGGAAGTGGTCAGATGACCATTTTCTCTTCACAGTGCCTCTTCTGAAGGGATCTTGGAATGCAAACATGTTGTTGTTGTTTGTGTTATATTTATTTATATATTGCAGTTTTTACAGTCTGGGACTCATGGTGGCTTACAACAGTTAAGGCAAACATAGCTAAATGATTATCTCATACAAAAGATAAAACTGTAATTAAACTATTCACATAATTAAAAACAGTTTAAAACATAGCCATTAAAAAAAATCAGCAAATAATGTACAGGACTTTATGTAAGGCTTTTCCCCTTGAGCAATCAGTCATCAAAGGCCTACTATCTTTCCTGCCTATGGAAAGATAGCGAGGAAGGCACCAGTCTAACCTCTCTAGGAAGGGAGTTCCAGAGCCTGAGGGCAACCACCAAGAAGGCCATCTCTTGTGTTCTCACCTAGAAGTACCTAGAAGGGTTTTTCCAAAAGATCTCAAAACATGGGCAGGGTCATAAGAGCGATAACTTGGACCTGAGCTGTAAAGGGCATTATAGGTTGTAACCAGGACTTTGAATTTTGCCCAGAAACAGATTATTAGCAAGTGGAGATGTGTATTCCTTGTAGCTCCTGTAATGTTATTTCAGTGGTAGTGGGGGTAAGTTTTCCTCCACCCACACTTTGGGAATGATGCTATAATTTTCTTCTTGTTTCCTTCTCCCCATTACCACCACCATTTAAAATGTTTATCTAGTTTAATGTCCTGAGAAGGGAGAAGAAGAGAAAGGGAGGAGATATTTTTGGTTTAGCTGTACATCAGTCATTGCCCTGTCAATCTGTAACACATGCCTGGCCATTCCACTCTACACAGTAAGTGCTGAAGGGAAGCTGTTATGCATCCCCACATCATCCAGATCATTACAGATCTTTTGGTGCTGGTAGTCTGTCTAAATTTAATTTGGGAGCAGGAACTGAGTTCTTGGATCAGAATGTACCTGTAATTACAAATGTATCTCTTAATCCTAATTTAAAACACTTCAATAGAAAAAGGGAAAACACAGTAGAATGCTTTCCAAAGGATTTTAAAGTAGGAGTTGGCAACTTTCAAGGGGAACAACTCACCACACCCTCCTGCCTTTATCAGATTGGCTTATGGACTGTTGGACTTTGATGACAAACAAACAACACTGCAGTTCTGATTATTTAATTAAACTTCATAGAAATAAGTAAGACCTATTTATTAGTGAGCATACTTAATAGCAGGAAGCCAGTGTGGTGTAGTGGTCTGAGCATTGGACTGCAACTCTGGAGACCAGGGTTCAAATTCCAACTTGGCCATGGAAATCCACTGGATGACCTTGTGCAAGTCACACTCCATCATCTTCAGTGGAAGCAATGTCAAAATCCCATCTGAACAAGAAAACTCTGTAAAAGGGTCACCTTAGAGTCGCCATAAGTGAGAAAGCACATAACCACAGCAATACTTAATTCTTAATTCAAATAGAATATAGAGTACTTCTCAGTCCAAATAATTTTGTTGTTAATTACTGATGAGTTTCTGTCTAACACAAAAATATAACATAGCAATAATTTCTTTCACAATAATAATTCCTTCAAAGAACTGTCCAGAACTAGACATACAGGTACAGCACAGTTTAAAAAGGCATCTGACAGAGAAGCTTCTTTTTACAAAGTCATTTTCTGCCTACCCAGTCTCTTTCTTTTCTTTGTCCTCTAACTAGAAGTTTTTTTAAAAAATGGCACTGGAATTGGGAGACTTGAAGAACTGGGGAAACACAAACTTTCAGCTGCCAGGTTGCAGCAGCATGTCTGCAGTAAACAATGCAGTAAAGCTTGAGGTGGAAAGAATGGGATAATGCTCAGCAGACCCTGCTGTAGTTGTGTATGGCTGTGTGCAACAGGCAAAGTAATAGGAACTGCCTCTGGAATTCCTTACTTTAGTACATGTGAATAGCAAAATAGAGAGAAAAATGGAAAACGAATTACAGTAGCTCCTCTGTTTTTGCGGGGGATGCGTTCCGACCACCCCCCCCTGTAAAATGGAAACTTGCAAATAATCAAGTCTCATTGGCTTGAATGGCCATGTGCCATGGGCGCGCACACCATTTAATTTAAAGGAGCTTGCACCGCCATGAATAATCAAGACCATGGACTTCAAGTCCACAAAAATGGAGGGGTGACAGTAGCTACCACATCAGCTAAAAGCAGAAGGTAAAGGCATTCCCCGTTGACAAGGTTGTCAAGTCGTGTCCGACCGTAGAGGGCGGTGCTCATCTCCATTACTAAACCAAAGAGCCAGCGTTGTCGGAGACTACTTGTGATCATGTGGCCAGCATGATTGCACCGAATGCTGTTTACCTTCCCAATGAAGTACCTATTTATCTACATGCTTTTGCATGCTTTCGAACTGCTAGGTTGGCAGAAGCTGGGACTAGTGACAGGAACTCACCCCGTCATGCAGCATCCAGACCTTGAACTGCTAACCTGCTAATCTTGCAATCAACAGAGTCATTGTCTTCACCACTTGAGCCACTGCATCCCCTGCATCAGCTACCCCCCAGCGTATTATAAAAGCACAGAGCTATAAGTTTGGCCACCAGATTGGAAATAGAACAAAAGCAGAGGTTGATGAAATAAAGAAAAATGTCTGGATGCATTTTGGAAGAAGCTTTCAAATGGTCTGTAGAAGGGTCAAAATAATTTTGTTTACTAAGCTTACAGACCCTGATTATTTCATTTCACATGTGCATAGTGTTAGTTTTGAATAAAAACTTTGATGAAACATGTGGAACTTCTCTTTTTTTTTTTTTTGTGGTACAGGAGCCTATCCTTATTCTTTCCTTGTTATTCCTACTTCTGGTATCAAATTTACTATTAATGAAGTAATGTCCAGGAACACATCTATTTTGTTAACTGAAGTTTACCTTTAATTCCAACATTAGTTGGTTGCATATAATAATTCTATAGTCTTTTAACTCTTGATTTAACCATGTTTGACGGGTAAAAAGCTTTTTAATGTGCTTCTCTTTTTAAAGAGGCTGTGGGCAGATGCTTTAAAATATCTCTCTTTCTCTGGTTGATGTTCATTGAATACAAAATAATTCTGTAATGTATTTAATAACATAAAAATTCTTAAAACGTACAGAATCAATATAAGAACTCTAAAATATATGCAATGTGATCATGCTTGGATTAAAAGCATCTGTGTGCTTGTCAATGAGGAATTGTGATGAGTTCAGAGGTATCATATTGACTTTGTATTAATACATGGTATCTTATTGGACTATAAGCTGATTGTTTAGAATGCAAATGAATCTGTTGATGGATCCAGTGACTGATGGCTTAAATTCCAATTAATCAATTGCTTCATCAGTTCCTTAATTCAGATCAAATATCTCTTGAGTCAACATGGTTCTTTCAGTGGTATTAGGAAAAATGAATGCTTCATAACTAATTTTCATCAATCTCTTATAAATGCCAATATTTTTTTTCACATGTCTGAAGTGACAATATTGTGGCATAAATATTTGGCATATATTGTAGTTCCTTTTTATATCAAGCTGTCAGGGCTGAAATTTTCTCCAGAATATAATAAGTGAAATTTTATACCAAACATCAGTTAATTTTTTTGTGTATCATTATATATGTAGTTTAAAATTAAACTACTGCTAAAATGCCATTTTTCTTTGTTATGGAGACAGTGTTGCTGAGTTCTGATTCATAGCAAGCAACCTGCTAATACTTCAATGTATAATACTTTATGACAGTTTCACATGCCTCATTTTTCATTGACCCATCAATTAATTCATCAACACTAGACACAGTCTCTTCATTGTGACACTTATACCAGTTGATCTTAATTTGATTGCCATTAAAACCACCCTTTCCTGACAACTCTTGTCAATTATACAAAATAAAATCAAGTATTCATAAGAAGGCTGTAACAGGATATAGGCAGGCAGATTTAATAATTCAGTTTTGGTGAGGCTTAACTGGCATTAGTTGTAGCTAATGTTCTCATTTGTGAAAAATTTATCAGATACAACACTTGAGAAAGAATACAGATGGAATAGCTTTTATTTATACAGCTTTGGTTGCCTGGTGGCCTAAAAAGAAAGAATATTAGCATAATTTTGCTCTTTTAAAAAACAAGAAACTAAAGATGTAATGCTATCTAAATAATGAATTTTAAGAATCATTATTACAGCCTTCATTAGAGATTTAAAGGTTGGTGGGAGAGAGACAGAAACATTTGGGGGAAAACCATTTGGTTGTTCTTATTAGCCATTTTCCATTTTTTTTCCCAGTGGAAAATTGGAAACTTTAAAGAAATCTAGAAAAAAAAGGAATGATGAAAGATTTTTTTCTTTTAAAGTGTATTAGGTGTTTTTAAGATAAGATATTAGTTACTCAAAACAGTATGTACTGTGTGATGTGAAGAGTTGTACAATATGCCAAACCAGGGATTCCTAACCTGTGGTCCGTCATTCCCTGGACTACATTATGAAGCAGAGGCATTTTTTGTTTGTTTTACATTGAAAATTGTTTTTAAATAATTTTTTTCTGAGTCCATAGTGCTAATCAAATTCATTAAGGGTTCTGTGCCCCTCCCCGGTTAAACCTGGGCTGCTGTACAGGATTAGAGATTGATCATTCCTGTGCTTATTGTAAATACATACATCATTCCAAGCAAATATACATTTCTGCACTGCAGGATCCATTATCTTCATTGTTGTCAAGCAGTTCTTACAATAAAGAAATTCTTCCTGTTTAATAATAATAATAATAATAATAATAGGTGGAATCTCTTGTAATTTGAGGCAATAGGATCATATTCTTGGCTCTGGAACAGCAGAAAAAAAGTTTGCTGTGCCTTCTATGTGGCATCCCTTTTGATATTTAATGATGACTGTCATCTATCAGAGTCAACATAGTATAATGGTTTGAATGCTAGACTACGACTCTGGATACCAGGGTTTGAATCCCTGCTTATCCATGAAAACTCATGAAAATTGGATGAGCTTAAGCAAGCTTTAGGTTCACCATAAGTTGAAAACAACTTGAGGACACACAACAATAACAATATTATTTCTCTGTGTCAAATCTCAACACTACTTTCTGAGTTTTCCCACCCAGTAAGGACTGGAATAACTGTAAAACATTGCTTCCCAGGTTCCATCCTGGTGAAGCAGGCCAGAAAGATACCGTGGCTGACTTTGTATCAAAAAATGCCTCTTCTTTCTTCTCCTTTTACTCATCCTTTTATTATACAATTAAGGTGAGATGGATTGCACAGAAGAGTGGGCTTGTTAGATACCTGATCGTTAAAACTGCAGATGTCGCAGATTGTGTTTGGGATCCTTGGCTCCTGTGTGCAAACCAGTACTCTACTACTTATATATTCATGCCACATTTCTCCATTGAGAGTGGGGAGATAGAAAGGAAGCAATAATGTTACCCATATGGTCAGAGTCTCTCAGAAATATCAGATTTAGAATTCTCCTCTCTTATTTCCCTGACCGGTCTTTGTAGTTATCCTTTTACAATTTTCTCTATACAATCTTTGTATCACTTGTTCCTGTACTTGTGGTGGATCAGTGCCCTCTAACTGAGATAAATCACTCCCTTTCAATCTTTGACAAATAGGACATTTGAAGAATGATTCATGTGTACGTGTTGGGGAGGTATGCAAATAAAAGAGAGATGCAAATGAGTGTCTGGCTGAACAGAAGAGATTGCATGGTAAGATCCCATGCTTTAGGGTAGCCTCCCTGCACCTGACAGTTCCTGGATGTACTGGACTGCTACAGTTCCCAGGAAACAGTTCATTATAAGCAAGGTAGTACATGTGGGGGAAGAATCCAGGTTTGAAAACTATGTGAAGTTTAAAAAGAGAAAAAAAGACGTCTAATAACAAAATGTGCTCCTGGGATCAGCATAGGCAAGCTTCATGCCTTTTCCTGTAAACCCATGACCATTTTTGAAAACTTGAAATGTCAATTATTTTTTAAAATAAGCTTCTTCACATACACCCAGCTCATTCGTAACTATGTACACTAGAACCTATGTGAAATTTTGTTTTAGTAAATGTGAACCACATATACTCTGTTTACTCTTTGACAGTTATGTGGTCAGTGCAGGGACAACTTGCAGGTTTGCAGACTGGCTAAACTGTTTACATAACAGATACTGTGACTTCAAAGGCTGCTTCTAAGCATGTTCAGAAGTTCAAGTTAGAGTTGAGTTGGCTTCCTTCTGTGCAGATGAACAAGCAAGAAGAATGTTATGTAATGTATTTCATGAATTGTGTATAAAAGCATATAATAATACTTCGCTGAGACATCCCATTAACATAGTAATTTATTTCCACTGGTGATTAGAAAAAGCCAAACAAAGACCCTGATTTGCAGCACATTCTATAGAATGTTTCCTATAGCATAGTCAACCATGCTCATTTCTGTGCTGACAAAACTAATGAGTTAGCAAACCAGTATCATACTACCAGAAACTTTGGTTTTGTTTTTTGAAGAATCCTGCTCTGTGTATTCTTGCACTAAAGTAATTTAAGGATAGGTACAAGTTACAGTACTGTATTTATTTACACTGGAGTAAACCTCCTCCAGGCCTAAAGGCAACAGGTCCTGTCAGATCTTAGGAGCTAAACAGGTTCATCTTTGGTTAGGATGGGAGATTTCCAATGAATACTAGGTGCTGTAGGCTATATATCAGAGAAAGGAACTGGCAAATGACCTCTGAGTAAACTGTATGAAATTTATGGGGTTGCCATAAGTCAACAGGTGACTTGCAGCCACGTACATGCATGCATGCACACCATTGAACAAAATGGAGCTTCCTTACACTTGCCTAGGACTCTGCAGTTGGTATTTGACTTTTTTTTTCTTGATCTAAAGCTGTTCTGAGAAAATATGATGAGAACTTTATTTGGAAAACTGCAGCTGTCTTAAGAGACAATATCACTTATCCAAGCTTTCATGTAGAATTTATTTGAGAGCTGTAGAAATCTATGAAAAAATTCAGAGTTACTCTATGTATTTATAATTTTAACATTTTTATTAATGAATGTTATTTGGGCACTGCTGACTAAAAAATCCCCAAAGTAATTGGAAAAAGAAGAGGCTTAAAAGTTTACTTATAAAGCTATTTGTGTGTTTTTTAAGAGGATGTCATCTTGAAAACTTGTAAAGGGAAACTATCAAGAAAGCCTCCAGTGTAAATGTAACCACATTTTTCAAAATGTGACTTACAAATTCATCATGAGTGAGAAGAGAAACAACTAATTATTATTTTTTTAAAAAAATAACTGTTGTGAACTTACAAAATTGCTTTTGCTTTAATGGCTTTGATAATGGTGTCCCATTTAACAGACTGGGAACAGCTACAGTATTTTTTGGCGTATAAGACTATTTTTAAACCCAGGAAATCTTCTCCAAAGTCGGGGGTCGTCTTATACACCGAGTGGAGGAGGGGGGGTGGCGTGGCATGAAGCGGGAGGAGGAAGAAGAGAGGAAGTCAGATAGAG